AACCTTCCCCGTCCACAGTAAGGCTGGGGAGGTTTCCGGCCTGGAGACCCTGGGGTGGAGGTTGATCTGATGCGCCGCGTACCTGACCGCAAACGGCCACAGAAAATGGGGGGCAGCCGCATGCATCATAGACGTACGAGCGACGTCCATGACCATGCCAATGCGGCACTCAGCAATCCCATTTTGCTGCGGAGAGTGCGGAAGCATGAAGGTCTGACGGATGCCTTGTGCGCGACAGTAGGCTCGCAGTAGGCCAGAAGAAAACTCTCCGCCTCTGTCCGAGTGCAGACGCAGAACAGGGAAGTCCGAGCCAAAGCTCCGCCTGAGCTGGAGACGAGCCGCGCGGATCCAGCCGATCAGCACCTCAGTGACATCACCCTTGCTGCGCAAGGGGAAGACTGTGGTGTAACGCGAGTAGTCGTCAACAACGAGCAGGAAGTAGCGCTCGTGACCCTGTCCACGGACGCGGGCCGGGCCCCACACGTCCATGTGAAGCGTCTGCAACGGGGCCTCTGTCGGAGGAAACTGGGAGGAGTGAGGGGCAGCCCGCTGGCGCCCCTCGACACAGGGGACACAGACAGGGCCAGGGCCCTGAGGAAGGGGAGGGAGGGACCGGGGGAGACCAGACACAAGAAGACGGGAGGCCATGCCTCTGAGCCGAAGCAGAGAGGGGTGACCAAGACGGTGGTGCCAGAGGAGAGTCTCATGAGACAAGAGACGACACGAACAGGGGGCAGACTCAGGACCAGACCTAGACGCTGCAGCAAACACCTGACCGGACAAAGCGACTCTACCAGACTCAGTAACGGGAGGAGACGCAGTGGTCAGTGTGTACAGGCTCGACCCCGGCTGACGGGTAAACGTAGCCAGGTGCCGGCCTGTGCTAGCCTCTGTACAGTGCGTCACCCGCTGGCGCGCAGGAGTGAACTGGTGTACTCCCCCATCCTGGTAGGTCAGCACCACTCACCAGGTTCGTCGAGAACGAGGGGAGGTAGAGACTAGACAGGGTGCCAGAGGGAGCCGCCGGACACGGGAGGACTGTGGAGAAGCGAGACAGTACAGCACCCCGGAGGGGTCAGCCAGAGACACCGCAACTGGCCGACTAAGCGGCGTGAGTGTGGTGCGGTCCCGAAAGAAGGAGCGAGACGCCCCAGAGTCAAGACCGAAGGTGAGGGAGGCCGAAGCCGACGTAGTACCTGAGAGCGCAGACTCACCAGTACCTGAGGACGCAGACACACTAGCACCTAGAGCAGCAGCGTCGCAAGCACCTAGGGCAGCAGTCTCAATGCCCGGATCGGGCGGGAAACAGCGGTAGCAGTCACCCTCATCACTATGAGACACAGCATACATGGCAGAGAGAATAGCATCAAAGTCAAGATCAAAGATGGCAACACCCGCCCTAGACAGCTCGCCCCAGCGAGGAATCTCTGAGGCCTCCGGGAACTGGTGACGCCACGCGTCCGTCAGGCGGCCAAAGCAGCGCTGGGTGGGGTGCCGACCCCCACACTGCTCACCCGCACGGTCGCCGGTGCGCAGGACGTAGGTGCACGGACCAAAACCCCCACCCCGCTGGCGTGCAGTGTACCATTCACGGAGCTGCTGAGGGGACAGGGTCTCACGACCGCGCTGCTGTTGCTGGCGCACGCCACTATCGGAGCCACTCCTCTGCGAAGGCCCGCGACCAGCTCCACCGCCACCCCCACCGCCTCCGCCGCCTCCGCTACTGCCGCCGCCTCCACCGCCGCCTCCACCGCCGCCTCCACCGCCGCCTCCTCCGCCACCTCCGCTCCCACCGCCACCGCCGCCGCCTTCTCCGCCTCCACCGCCGCCACCGACCCCCCCACCCGCACCTCCACTCCCACCGCCACCCCCACTACCCCCACCGCCTCCACCTCCACCTCCACCGCCCGCTCCTCCAGCTCCCTTGCTCCCCTTGCCCTTGCTAGGGCGGCGTCTCCCGCTAGGGGCAGACGCCGCACCGACCGACTCAAGACCAAGGAGGTCGGCCGTAGCAGCAGAGGCAACAGAGGGCAGCAGGGGGGAGGGGGAACACCCCTCAAAGATGGGGGTGCGCGGGTCACCTCGAGAGGCTCCTACAGCGACTATACTCTTCTCCGCTACTAAGAGGGCCTTCTCGAGGAGATCGACAGTGAGTGTGGTGGGACAGACTGAGAGAAAGTGGTCCCTGACTACTCGAAGGGAGTCAGGGAGGCGAGTGACTAGGAAGTACAGAGTGATGTACATGGGGGGGGGGGTTCGCGGTGCAGAAGTCAGCAGGAAGTGCAGCGCGGTAGCGAGTGTCACTAGTGCGGAGGTGCGTAATGAGGTCAGCAACGGTGGGAAAGGCAGCAAGGTCAGGGAAGAGGTACGGCAGCATGAGACGGCTCAGTGCAGCAGTGGAAGGGGAGGAGTAGCGCGCGACTACAGCGTCGTACAAGGTCTGAGCACTCTTGTACTGACTAAAGTGCGCACGCTCGGAGGTAGGGAGGTGGCGACGCACAGCAAGACGTGCAGCAGCATTGCGCGTGGCCCACTGGGAGCGAACAGTGGCGTCAGCATCAGCAGCAGGGGCAGGGGAAGCGCCAGAGGTGAGGTCAAAGAGAGAGAGGCCGTCCGCCCTATCGCACTGTAAGAACAGCTGTAGGTCATCTACCCAGACCTCAAAGTCAATGGCCCGACCCTCAGCGTCAAAAGCGAGGACACTAGGGGTAGCCATGACAGTAGGAGACCAGCAGTGCAAGCAGTAGGGGAAGGGCACGCAGTGACAGAGGGCCTGTGCTCACCGGACAGGGCTGCTCGGGCGGCTCAGCTGCAGGGCGGCTCGGCAGCTGGGCGGCTCGGCGGTTGGGCGGCTCGGCAGCTGGGCGGCTCGGCGGCTGGGCGGTCGGCTGCACGGCGGCTCGGCTGGTGGGTGGCCGGGCGGCTTGGCTGCAGCGCGGCTCGGCGGCGGGGCGGCTCGCCTGCTCTGCTGCTGGGCGGCTCGGCTGCTCTGCTGCTGGGCGGCTCGGCTGGGCCGCTGAAGTAGGGCGGCGGGGCCGCTGCAGAGGAGCGGCGGGGCCGCTGCAGAGAGGGCGGCGGGGCCGCTGGATAGGGCGGCGGGGCCGCTGCAGAGAAGCGGCGGGGCCGCTGCAGAAGGACGGCGGGGCCGCTAGGTAGGGCGACGGGGCCGCTGCAGAGGAGCTGCGGGGCCACTGCAGAGAGGGCGGCGGGGCCGCTGGAGAGAGGGCGGCGGGGCCGCTGGATAGGGCGGCGGGGCCGCTGCAGAGAAGCGGCGGGGCCGCTGCAGAAGGACGGCGGGGCCGCTGGGTAGGGCGGCGGGGCCGCTGCAGAGGAGCGGCGGGGCCGCTGCAGAAGGGCGGCGGGGCCGCTGGGTAGGTTGGCGGGGCCGCGAGATAGGGCGGCGGGGCCTCGTGGTAGAGTGGCGGGGCCGCGAGGTAGGGCGGCGGGGCCGCGAGGTAGAGTGGCGGGGCCGCGCGATGGGGCGGCGTGGCCGCGAGGAAGGGCGGCGGGGCCGCTAGGTAGGGCGGCGGGGCCGCGCGATGGGGCGGCGGGGCCGCGAGGAAGGGCGGCGGGGCCGCTAGGTAGGGCGGTGGGGCCGCGCGAAGGGGCGGCGGGGTCGCGATGGGGCGGCGGGGCCGCGATTGGGCGGCGGGGCCGCACGATGGGGGGGGGCGGGGCCGTGAGTAAGGGCGGCGGGGCCGCTAGGTAGGGCGGCGGGGCCGCGCAATGGGGCGGCGAGGCCGCGAGGTAGGGCGGCGGGGCCGCTAGGTAGGGCGGCGGGGCCGCGCAATGGGGCGGCGAGGCCGCGAGGTAGGGCGGCGGGGCCGCTAGGTAGGGCGGCGGGGCCGCGCAATGGGGCGGCGAGGCCGCGAGGTAGGGCGGCGGGGCCGCTAGGTAGGGCGGCGGGGCCGCTAGGTAGGGCGGCGGGGCCGCTAGGGCGGCTCGACGCGACCGTAAGGGCGGCACGACGGGCCGCTAGAAAAAAAAAAGGAGAGCGCGACTCGAGGCGCGCTTCGGTGGGCCCTAGGAACAGTCCCTAGGAGGGGACCTGCTCTGATACCATGAGAGAATGAGAACGAGAGAATGATGTGAACTATGAATGAAGCGAGTACAAATATGAAACCCTAGTTGGGTTGTACCCCCTATGGGATACCCCACTATAGCCTACACAATAGCATAAGCTATAATGTTCTGACAGAAACCTCCTATCAAGAATGTAGTTCTCGCCTGTAAATTTGCAAGCTCGCGCAACCTCCTATCAACAAAACTTGACGGTTTCCCCCCATGTGCGACCCAAAACTAACGCTGATGTGGCACGCTGCGACCCACCTTGATCAAGCACTCCGGTTCACATCAACAGTGCACCACGTAAGCACGAAGTGTGCCAAGGGGACAAGTCAACAAACAGCTCGCTCACACATGCCCATCCACGCCAACCCCTCACGTGCTGGGGGTGGTATACGTGTTGCCTGGCGCCAGGTGTGAAAACGGCACCCAAAATTTGTGTTCCATGCACGGTCGAGCGCAGCGCACGACTGCCACATCGTCCAGCATGGCACGAATTGGTGACTGCCGCATACACTGGCCTGGCGTCTGTTCGTTAGATGGAACGGTGTTCCGGGAAGTCATCACGTTCATGCGACACCCTGCGAGCATTTCTATTGGTTCCCTAATATTATTCCAATCTTGATATCTGGTGTTTTATAACGTACACATTGTCATACTACATTCTTGATAGGAGGTTTCTTGATAGGAGGTCGTAGGAATACGCCCTAAGACAGTGTTGAATAGTAGACAGGGGTTGTCTACTATACGGTTGTCTCTTATTAACAGGCTAGCCTTTTTATACGACACCTATTTGTGTGTACGAGATAAGACATATATGTCTTATAATCAGAACCAGGGTTTAGGGGTTTTCTTATAAGCAGGGGGTGTCTTCTAAACGAGCCTTCCTTACTTTAGGGGGGTACATGCATACAGTCATGAATCTCTACTTCTACCTAACCACCCTCAGTAACCGCCTCCTCACCTGCACTAACAACAGGCTCTACACCCAGGTCTGGCACTCGCCAGGCATGCCTAGCCGTCTCCCTAGGCTCGATCATGCAGTCAGTCTCGGCCGCCGCTCCGCGGTAGTTGGGGGTCTCCTGGTACAGCACCCCCAGGCCGGTTGCCACGGCCACCTCCCGCACGCCCTCCGCCTGCATCGCCTCCTCCTCCTCCTCCTCCTCCTCCTCCTCCTCCTCTGGAGCCCGACCGAGCAGGCGCGTGTTGTCGCCTGTGGTCCCCCCGAGGGACATGTCCGCGGAGACATCGGTGGTGCTCCTGGCACGCAGGTGAGACATCAGCAGGTGGTTCTCCGTTCCGTCCAGCTTGCTTGAGATCCCACAGTGGCGGAACGCGTCGATGATGATCTGCTTGGGGACTTGATCCCAAGCCTCCGCGATCCACTGCAGCACCACGGGGTGCGGAGGCCTCCGTAGGTTCCCTGCAGGTGGGACAGAGGACGGGGCAGCGAGATGTTAGAGACACGGATATGAAGGAGCATGTTTAAGACAAGGACAGGAAACAGAACAGGAATAAAACCGTAAATGAAGGACCAACTCACCCTTCTTCGTCTTCAAGTGAACCCCTTCATGCATGAAACACCTAGCGTAGCGCGCTCGCACAGCAGCCTTGAAGCACCGGTTGATGGAGACGTCCAGGGGTTGAATCAGGCTCGTACAACCCGCTGGGATGACTGCAGGGGTGATGCTGTGCGTGCGGTACGACTGAAGCATGGTTTGGGTGATGTGACCGCGGTAGGAGTCCAACACAAGCATCGCCCGCCTTGCGTTCTGGCCGCGCTGGGGGTTCAGATGGGGCAGCACCTCCTTGGACAGCCAGGTCTGCACAGCGCTCTCGTCCATCCACCCGTTGTCCTGTGCTTGGACCACGATTCTTGCCAGGCACACAAGGGACAGACGGACATCAGCACAGTGGGGCACGCTCAGGCAGTCGCACGGTTGAATTCATTACGCTTACCTTCCGAAATCTCACAGTTGGGGACATTCTTAATCTTGAACCACACCCACGGCCACAGCTTCTCCCCGGATGCAGTGCACGCGAGCATCACCATCAAGCGCGTCTTCTGGTAGCCTGCAGTGCGGATTGGGACCGAGCGCGCGCCACGGTGCTCGATCGTCCATTCGGCTGGCATCTCCACGGATAGTGGAGTCTGGTCCGCGTTGATGATGCGGGCCAGGTCGATGTTGTGCCGCCCCCTGTTGATGCGCACGAACTGTCAGAACATTATAGCTTATGCTTTTGTGTAGGCTGTAGTGGGGTAGCCCATATGGGGTACAACCCAATTAGGGTTAGTACTTGTACCCAACTTTTTCATAGTGCATTCATTCTCGTTTCAGTTTTCTCATGGTATCGAGCAGGTTCCCTCGTGGGAACTATTCCTAGGGCCCACCCATTCGATTTTTTTTCCTGCCCGGAGCGCGCTCAGCCCTTGCTCGAGTCACGCTCCCCCTTTCTCACTGTGTCGCGCCGCCCTAGCGGTTGTGTCGCGCCGCCCTAGCGGCTGTGTCGCGCCGCCCTTGACGACCCCGATCCGCCGCTCTAGCGGCCCCGTCGCCTACCCCACGGCCCTTGAGCCGCCCTTCCCAGCCCCGATTCGCCGCCCTTTTGGCCCCGTCGCCTACCCCGCTGTGGAGATTAACTCTACAACGGTAGTGAGCTAGACTACAGGGGTTGGCACGAACTACTCGAGGTGATCTTAGCTTTGCTTAGTTCCTTAGTGTTTGCACATTCACGAAAGAATTTGGCAAGAGTTTTCACTAGCAAAGTTGGAATTCCAGAATAATAAAGAAGCAATGACAACAATGACTAAATCAGGCACCTAGCAACCCTGCAGCCAGCCTGGTCGACCGCCAGCGCAGCTCGGTCGACCGCCTGCCAGCATTGCGTAGAGGAGCCGCGCCAGCACTGCAGAAGGGCGACCTGCCAACAAAGCAGGTCGACGGCGTGCCCCGTAGAACATAGCAGTGCGCGCGCTCACAGGTGTGCGCAGACGATTGGCCCGACTTGCCTCGTTGGGCATCCGTCGGCTGTTTGTCTGCGCCTGACGAGCCACATCGACTTCGGGATACCAGCCCGAAGTCGCCTGCGCCATCGCGATCTCGACAACGTTCGCGTGCCTCCGCAGAACTCGTCGAGCAGGTTACCCGGTCGACCTGGTCGACCCCTGGTGCTCTGGTCGACTCCCAGGTGCCTCCCGTCAAGCTACCCCTTGGTCGACGGACCCCTTCCGTCGACCAGAACTGCTCTGTCGACCTCCCGGTCGAACTGCAGTTCGACGGGATGCTCCGTTGTCCTCCCGGTCGAGCTGCAATTCGACGGGACGCTCCGTTGACCTCCCGCTCGAGCTGCAGTTCGACGGGATGCTCCATAGACCTCCCCGTCGAACTGTAGGTCGACGGACTGCTTCGTCGACCTCCCGGACGGCTCACCCGTCGCCCAGGCCAGTCAGGTGCAGCTGTCGAGCATCCTGGTCGACAGCAACACCACAGTGGTCCGCTGCAGCTCGACGTAACCTGTCGAGCAGCTATCCCACTGTGAGAAGTCGGCTGCTACTTCCGTACATCCGACCAAGTTGTCGGCGTTGCCCAAGCGAGGGCGGGGCCAACACTTCATTCCCGTTAACACTCCCCTGCCGCGCTCACGCTTGGGCCTCCAGCCCTCACGGCAGTACTCCACGGAGAGAACTCGTCCTCGGCGTGCACCCCACACACAGCACGCCGTCACCGCACCAGCCGTGCAGAAGGGCACGGCACCTACTGCTGCACCTCGTCGTCGCCGTCGCCGACGTCGACCAGACGAACTTGTCCGATGGCGACAGAGCACCGGTTGAAAGCCGGAAAATGCAGCGCCTTCGTCAGGAAATCCGCCGGCTGCTCGGTGGTCGGGATGTAGTTCAGCACAAATTTCCCGCGCCTCACCATGTGCTGCAGCCACGCGTAGCGTCGTTCCATGTGCTTGAGGTTGCCCGTTAGCCCCAAGCCCTCAGCGACAGTGATTGCCGACTTGTTGTCGACGCGGAGGATGGTCGGCTTCCCAGCATCGAGCAGCTTGAATTCCGCAAGGAGGAAGCGAAGTCGACGGCCCTCCTTGCCGGCATCCGTGGCCGCCACGTACTCCGACTCAGTCGATGATAATGTCGCGCACTTGATGCGCGAGCTCGACCAGGAGATGGCGGCCCCTCCATAGACGAACACGTAGCCTCCCGTGCTCGTCCGGTTCTGCTTGTCGCCCGCGTCGTCGGCATCGACGTAGCCGATCAGCTCCAACGATTCTGGTCCACCGCCGAACTCCAGGGCGGTGTCGCGGGTGTCGGCGAGGAAGGCGAGGCAACGGTCGACCTCACGCCAATGCTGGTCGCTCCTCACCGTGAGGCCGCTCCCCAGCTTGCTGCAGGCGAACGCAATGTCCGGCCTCGTCGTCGTCGCCGCGAACTGTAGCGAGCCGACCTTCTGCCGGTACTCCTCCTCTTCGCGCTCCTGAGCCTCCTCGCCGTCGAACGTCAGCTGAGCGTAGGCGTCGACCGAGACCGGCGTCTTTGGGACTTGACCGCCCTGCTCCACGTCGACGAAGCGCCTGCGCAGCTTGTCGGCGTAGCCCTGCTGGTGCAGCCACAACTTCCTGGCCGGCCTGTCGCGCACGATCTCCAGCCCAAGATACTTCTCCACCGGCGAGATCTCACGCAGCTCAAAGGCGGCCTCCAGCAGCTCCTTCAGCTCCTTCAGCATCGCGGTGCTGCTGCTAGCGGCGAGCAGGTCGTCGACGTAGACCAAGACCCAACAGGTCACACCGTCGTCGCTAGTCTTGAAGTAGAGCGCCTCGTCGACCTGGCTCTTCTTCCAGCCAGCGCCCAGCAGCACACCATCAAGAGCCCTGTACCACAGCAGCGGCGACTGCTTCAGCCCGTAGAGGCTTTTCAGCAGCTTACACACCCGGCCGGTCCCGTCGTCGAAGTAGTCCGGCTGGTACATGTAGAGCACCCTGTCGAGCTTGCTCTGCAGAAAAGCGTTCTTCATGTCGAGCTGCATCAGGTTGCGGTCGAGGACGGCGAGGATGCTGAGGAAGATCCTCAGCGTGACGTAGCTGCTCACCGGTGAGTACGTCTCGTCGTAGTCGGCGCCGTACACCTGCGTGAAGCCCTTTACGACCAGCCTCGCCTTCTCGCGCTCGACGGTGTCGTCGATGTGGTACTTGGTCGTCAGCACCCATCGGTTCTTCATAATGTTCACCCCGCATGGGCGTTCGACCAGCTCCCAAGTCCCCATAGCGATGAGGCTACGGATTTCTTCTTCCATGGCGGCCTTCACCGCCTCGCCCTTCCAGCTCGACAGCGCCTCCTTCACCGTCATCGTGGCAATGTCCCAGCGGTGTTCGGGGTCAGCATGCACGTCGGGGTCGAGCTCCGACAGGTCTTCATCCTCCTCGTCATCGTCGTACAGCAAGTCGTCGTCGACCTCGTCGTACACCGTGGTGAAGGCAGCTGGCGGTAGGCAGGCGTGGAAGCTCAACCGCTCCGGCGGCAGTCGAGCTCGACCTGAGCGTCGCAGCTCAGGCTTCGTGATCGGCACTTCCATCACGTCGCTGTCGGTGGACTCCTCACCCGCCGGCTGCTCCCCTTTCTCGTCGACGAGAACGTCATCGACCAGCTGCTTCGACCCTTCGACCGGCTGTTTGTCTGCTGCTGCCTTCGACAACTCTCCTGTCGGCCGATCCGACTGCTGCTCCCCTGTCGAGTGTACCCCTGTCGTTGCCTCCTGTTCGAGCGGCTCCCTTGTCTGGTGCTCCCCTGTCGTCGACGGCTTCCCATCTTGGTCGACGAGCTTGGCGCCTTGTCGACCGCCGGCGATGCCATGGGCCGGCGCCACAGGCGACGCCTCAAGGCTCCCCTCATCGACGGTGGGCGACACAGGTGCCGACCCAGGCCCAACTGCGACGGGGAACGGAGGAGCAAAGACAGGGGAAGGAGAAAGAGCCTCCACAACAGCCTCATCACCGGGTCCGTCGACTTCGGCGAGCAACGGAACCTGCGCTGTAGATGTATCCGTTGGCAGGTGCGCTTGCGTCCGCTGCGACGCCGGCCCATACTTCGCCTTCCACACCTCCAGCGACAGCGTCTCGTAGAAGATCACCTCGACCGACGTGACCACCTTGTTGTCGGTCAGGTCGAGCACTTCCCAGCCCTTGCTTGCTGGCGACACACCCAGGTGAAGTCCCCAGCGAGCCTTCGGCGCCAGCTTCCCACCACGCTGCTGCTCGGGAATCATGAACTGCATCATGCAGCCCCACACCCGCGCCAGCGTAAGGTCGGGCTTCTGCCCGGTTAGCAGCTGGTACAGAGTCGTCCCCGGCGGCGTCGTCGACCGCTCCAAGCAGTTGCGCACCCAGACAGCTTGTCGTAGAGCAAGGTGCCACCAATGGTGCTGCACGCCCATGTGCAGCAACATCGTCCGCACGGACTCGACGGCCGTGCGCATCTCCCGCTCAGCCATGCCATTCTGCTGCGGAGTGTAGGGGCACGTCAGGTCGTGGACAATGCCCTTCCCGTGGACGAAGTCGGTGAACGCCTTCCCGAGGAACTCCCCTCCTCGATCGGAGCGAAACGACAGCACCGACTTCTTCGTCTGCCGTTCCACCAGCACTAGCCACCGCTGGAACTCCCGCAGCACATCGCTCTTCTTGGCGACCGGCATTGACCATACAAATCGAGTATGGCGATCCTTTAACAGCAGGAAGTACAGGCTGCCATCCTTGGCAGCCACTCGAAATGGCCCGCACAAGTCAATGTGCACGACAGCCAGCGCCTCCGCTGCATCCGAGCCCGTGGCAGGGAAGATGTGCCGCGCCA